CCTCTTTCCAATAAGGGGTCGGGAGTGGGGATAGCCCGACCCTGTTTTTCTCCATAAACGATATTTAACCAGCGCGATACTAAATATTTCCCGTATAAACATGTAAACTTCGAAAAAATAATTAAATAAAAGAAAATAAAATAAAAATTTCAATTGTTTTATTTATAAGGAAAAGATTGACTAATACAATAAGCAGTGGTAGCCAATGAATAACGAAACAAATAATCTATCGACCAGTTTTCTGGTCGATAAGAACCAAACAAAATTTTTTGCAATAACAAATATCTAACAAAACAAAGCTAAGAGGAGAAATAGTTACTATTTCCCCCAGGCGGGAACAAAAGTGAACCTATCACATAACGAATGCATTAATTACTGATAACATATCGGTGACCATTTACTTAACGTTTACCCGTCTTATAGGAATGGTTTTAACTTATTTAAATTAAATAAGAAGTTTTTGAAAAATAATTGGGGCGTTAATTGAAATATTTGGACATATCACTTGACTTGGACATGCGTTTTATGTTTAGGTCAGCATATTGTCGACGCAGAGCAGATATTTAGAATAGTCGACAAGTGAACCAGTTTTTTTTAAAGTTGAAAACCACGAGTTTTTCAGTCCTTTACTTTATATAACTCTTTCAAAAGCACTGTTTTGTACTTTTACATTTTGAACCATTACTATAGGAACATACTTCTTTACCAGTTATGTAATAGTTGTATTAAAATGCGAGATACTTAATTGAACATTTTAGTAACAGATGGCCAGATAATTTCCCAAAATTGTTTGTAAATTAAAGCAGAAGAAAATATATAGAATATTGCCCAAAAGCAGCGAGTAGTGAAATAGGAGAAATATTTACTTTTTTCGGGATTGAAGAATTCACATTAACTTTAACGAAAATATCTGGTACTACTTTAGTATTTAACCGGTGACTTAACAAATCACTTCTGCTGACATTTTTGGTTGTCGCACTTTTACATGTAACTGGAATGATTGTCGTTATTGACGTGTATGAGTAGCTTAAAGTGCTGAGCACATAGACAGCTGTCAAATATTATAATACACACGTTCTTAAAGACAAGGTTATTTAGACAGCTGCACGACTACACGATTGCAGGCCGTCGGTTGTCGCTCTCGCTAACTTCAAAATATTCTTAAAGTTACCGACGACAGTAGAGAGGAGAGATGCCACTAATATATAAAATGTAAAATTATTCAAAGCTCTTACAAACCTGACGTTATTTTACAAATAAAAGCATAAAATAGCTCTGTTATAGCATTTGTGATAACAATTTATATACAAACAAATAAGTTTGGCTATTTACTTATTTTTTGCATAAAGAATTTCACTTTGAACAATATATTAAAATTTCATTGAAGTGAAAGGTATAAGTATGGAAACAACGAAGATCTGTACATGTAAAATGGACTGCTGTGTTGCCTTGTGTACATGCCGGTGATTGTTATGTCGCTGCCCTCTTACAAATGTTCATATAAAAGGATTATGGGCGCCATTTACAGTTCACTGTTGTGCTGCCATGTCGTGTCGCGATTTATGTGTTAAGCACTTAAGGCCCAACAATCGCTCATGATTTGAATTGATATTTATCGTTCCAGTGTAACATCAACTAACAAATGAAAATGATATAGTGAAGTTAATAAAAACAATATGCTAAAACATTTTTTGGTGGTTATTACAGCAATTTCTGCCTGTAGTTTTCTTTATGGAGTATATAATTATAATGTAGAAATTGAGTCCAATGCTTGTCAAATGACGTACATGTTTGCACCACCTCAGTTCTCGGTATGTATGAGCAATAATCGAAGAAGTATTGGGCATCTTTATTATTATTGGTTAAATTTTAGAATAGGGGCAAAATTTCGATTTTTTGACGAGGCGATCTGAGCGTACCGTTGGAAAGAGGAAGTCCGGGTAAATTTTAGAATAGCATCCCCAGATTTCAGGGTTAAAATGGGTACGTATGGATAGAGGAGGTCCTCTAGATTAAAAAAATATCTATATAAAGTTGCCGCTGACTTATGGGTTTTGAGATCTTTGCATTTGAAGTTTAAAAATTCAACAATTTAAAGTGCGTGTTTATCCCATTTATACTGAATTTTATAATTTAACTTTTATATCCACTAACACTTCATTAATTCGTTTCTTATCATTTATTTTATATTAAATAGTGCAAAAATACCTTTCGTTCAACATTTAACTTTCGTTCATTTATTATGTTCGTATAGTACAATAACATCGCCGGATTTCGGGGATAAAATGGGTATCACTGGATAGGAAAAAGAAAAAAGATATAGATATAGTTGCCACTGATTTATAGTTTTAAAGATATTTGCATTTAAAGGTAAAAAATTTACATTTATTGCGGTCCTACCTTACGTTTATATTTTACAGAATCAAACAAAAATAAAATAAAATAAAGAAAACAAATAATAACTCAATGACAGAAAATATATAACACATTTATTTTCCGCATAGAATTCTTTTCTGCGCTTCAAAAAAATAACCAACACCTGGGCGTGCTCAGTTCATTTGCGTTGAACTCCTTATCTCCCGATCCAACACCGGGGTTTATCAAGATAATGCGAGTTTTGAAAGATTTTACATTATTCATTACACGATAATGAATTTAGTTATGACTTCATAATCTTTTTTTCTTGTGTTTATTCCATTACAAAATATGGTAACTCTAATATTTTGCTTGTTTACAACTATTTTCTTATTTTATGAATAAATGGATTTTTTAAGCAAAAATTTGATATAAAATTAAAGTTATTTGTGCACTATTTAATATAAAATAAATGATTAGAAACGAATTAGTAAAGTGTTAGTGGATATACAAGTATAAAATATTAGTATAAAATGCATTATAAATCGGAGAAGCACTCATTTTAAATAGTTGATTTAATTGCACTTTAAATGAAAATGTCTCAAAAACCGTAAGTCAGCGAATATATATTCTTGATCTCGAGGACCTCTACCATGCGTACATACCCATTTTAACCCCGAAGTCGAGGGATGCTAGTCTAAATCGCAGCCTGAAGTCCTCCTGTTTAAAAAATATAATATAGGGGGGCCGACTTGGGCATACAATCTCACGATTTCAGGGTGATTTGGTTGGATAGAGAAGATGATCCAGATTAAGAATATATACTATAATTATTAGTTTTCGAGAAATATACATTTAAAATTGAAAATTTGCAAAATTTATTAATTTGCAATTTATCGATTTATAGTAAGTCTTTATTTTGTATTATGCACTGTTTATACACTTATATTTCACTACATTGTTTTTACATATTTATTTTATATTAATTATTTTGATATTTGCTTAAAATATAATAAGCTATATTAAGAAAATATGTTTATACCCCAAATATATAAACCATTATCCTTTACTAAAGTATACCCAGGTGTTGGATCGGCAAGAATAATTTTTCAATTCAGAAAGAAGTCGAAAGCGAATGAACAATTGTCTACCCTAGTGTTGGATCGGTCAGGCTTATTATTTTAATGCGTATCCCGAAAGAGTTTTACGCGAAAAAAACTTAAAATTATATTTGCACTATATAATAAAAAATTGTGAAATGGGATRTACAAGTGCAAAATATAAGTGTAAAATTAATTTTAAATCAAAAAATACATACTTGAATTAATTAAAATTACCACTACTAATTTTCAACTTTAAATGTAAATATCTTGAAAATTATAAGTTTGCGGCGTCTCTATTCTTGATTTGGAGCCTCTTCTATCCGATCCTCCCCATTTTATTCCCAAAATCCTGAGATGGTATTCTAAAGTCAAGATTTTTGTCGCATAAAACTCGTTTTATCACTTAGAGTTTTTGAAATATTCCCGATTAAAAATTCAAAATTTTGTATTAACACATTTTTCACTTTGTATATTTAAATATACACTCTTAAACATTGAAATAAGTTCACATTTCACTTTAATTTTGTTATATTTTAGCTAAATTTATTAATTTAAAAATCACTTACGACACTCATTGTTGAAAAGGTTAGATTGTTTACAATTATGAGGAAAACGAGCGTTGCCACTTCTTACTACACCACTATATAGGATATTCAACGATTTTTCTTTGTTTGTATTTACGCTTTATTCTTTTTTCGATATTAACTGTAATAAAAATTTCTTTCTAACACTTTTCTTATACTTATATGCTATAATTGAGTTGTGAACACTTTTTCCATATACATAACTAAGTATATGTATAATAAGTGATTTATATTTAATAAACACAAATAGGACATACATTGTGTTAAATTTTGGTTAACTCTTTTATTTAAGATACTTGTTTATACTTCAGTGGTTAGAACAAGAGTGAGAAAATGTATAAGTACAATAAAGTTCAGTTACAATACGATTTCATTYTAAATACATCAGAGTTGCATGTATATGTACGTTGTTATATGCAGGACTGCATTTCAACACATTGGGTATGTCAGGGTCTATTCTGGATAAGTACGAGTTTAACCTGCTACAATATCCAGAACGAAGCTGCGATAGGGTCACTCGTGTTTCTCGTACATCTGGAGCTCTTCGTCTGCGATAGGATTATTTGACTCCATGAACGCCATTCACGGGAAGGGAATCGGTGAAGGTGTTGATGGCTCCACTGTGAATGGCGGTCAGTACTTTTCGAAAGTCAGTTGCGTCCGAAGTCCGGTCGGCGTACTGTACGACATCGTCGACGTGGTCAAGGAAAGGCCTTTTGATGCTCCTAGGAGGCGGTTCCGCTCCAAGCAGATGGCTGCAAGGGTTATTTCTACGGAAACATCCCAGCAAGAACTGCTTGGAGAGGAGTTCATTATGCTCCTTAACTGGGAGCATAAGCGTCTGGCTATGGAGGTGTTCTATGGAAGACATCCCGTCGTGGTCCGGAGTGCGGTATTTTGGCAGGTCTGAAGTTTCCTCATCTGCGTACCACTGCCTCCAGGCGGCCATATTGGTGCTGAGTAGTAAGGACCAGCCGGCCGATTGCCTTGTAAGTTGCCAACAACGTTTCTTTGTCTTTTCCCCATGTGATGCCGGCTAGCGACTTGAGGATTTTTTTGCGGCTCTGTATCTTGGCGATAATCACGGTCGTATGGGGAGAGAAGGAACATGTACTATCGAACGTTACACCTAAAATCTTACGGTTATCGAGATTTGGAATTTTGACGCCATCGACTGCAATATTAAGTTCAAGTCTAAACTCCTTCGTCCAATTCGTAAATACGGTCAGTGCAGTGAGGAAACGAGAAAGGTCGGAGAGGTAGTTGTTTAGCTTCGAACACATGCCATACTTTCGGGTAGTAATTTCCGCGTCGGCGGTCTTCGGTCACGCTTTAAAAAAATAACCCTGCTCAAGCGAATACCCAAGGTGACTGAAGTACTTTCGTTTAAATTCCTTTTTTTCTTAAATGTTAACACGAGTTTTTTAAATATATTTTTTAGTAATTAAACGAAAATTTTTCTCTCCCATAAATATTTTTTTATTATTAACAATTTAAGGCCGAAATTTGGGCAAAATATCGACTTTTTTTAGAATCCTCCATTTTGTAAAAAAAAATATTTTGCTTATTTCTTCCTTTTGTTTTACTAGATTTAACATTACTTTAAAGCCAAATGCTCCAACGCTCTGCTTACGTACGTAATTACTGTCAAAGTAAAAATCCAGAAAAAACTTCAAGTAGGTAATCGGTAGGACCTGGGGAAGACAAAAACAATATATGTATGTATGTATAATGTTTAGACGGCATCGATGCCCTTCTCTGTGGTGCTGTTTTGTTTTCTTGAAAAAACCGTTTTGACTGGAAATTAACCATCCCCACAACTGTCGGCCTACGTAACCGCAAAGGATGCGGGTTTTTTTCGGGTCAAGGACTGTCAACTCGGCAGAATTCTGTCGCTACAAAAAACAACAACAAATTGGAAGTAAACAGGGAAGTGGTCCTTGTGGAAGCGTATTTCAACAATACTGTTAGATTCTACGTTATCCTTTTGAAGGCGAGACTTTCCATTGGATTTTGTCATGTCTATATAAACACATCTCAAAGCCACAAAATATAAATTTTCGGCTTAGATTTTGAAAAATCATTATGTTTTTTATTCACAAATTTTCAAGTTTAGATATGTTATTATAATATAATTGAATGTACAGTTTGTCAAATATTTAATCACACAAAATTTCCAATGTATTATATTTTGTTTTTTCTTTATTAAAGTGAATGTTTGAATAAAAAAGATGGACTGAATAGCCTTATAAAATGTCAGTTGGTAATAGCGAAATTACTGGAAATATGCCGTTAATTTTCAGGAATGATCAATTAATTGATTTTGTGAAGTAAAATTGCTCCGTAATATTGCTCTGCTATTCTACTTTTTCTTTTTATTCCATAACTAGAGTACTCATCCACACTTTACTGTGGCTGACTACTACTAATACCATCTACATTATTTCTAGTTAGCTCCTACCTTTAAAAGATACATATCGTCACCTGAAATGCAAAATAACGTATCATCGAAAAATTCGAAATTGACTGTATTATTGATTACGTTTCACTACTTGAAATTACATACATAATATTGCATATGTTTAACATTTTCAGGTTTTGCACTCAGATGTAAACCAGTTTTAACCACTATCAAAATTTTTTTCACTTATGTTCCATTTTATTTCGTGTTTCATTTATGCCACTGTAAATTTCCGAAAATGTTGTTACGTTATTTTGCATTTCAGGTGACGATATACAAATTTGGCAACTGAGAAACTATTAGTAAAT